GTGTGTGTGTGTGTGTGTGTGTGTGTGTGTGTGTGTGTGTGTGTGTGTGATGTACTAAAAACTTGGGAAGCAAAGCAAAATTTAAGTAACAAAATTGCAAAAGCTAACAGTTTCAATTCATTTTAGAAAGGTAACTATTTTAGAAAGAATTATAAAGGGTGGCGGAAGATATGTTGGGTATATATTGGATAATCAAGGCTCAAAGAATAAGGTTTCCAAGTTCTTTGCAGACAAATATAAATATTGATTAAAAAGGATTTTGCATTTACAATTCACACCTGTTCTATTAAGCTAGCATCCTTCTTTACAATCAAGTTGTGAAAACAGAGACACTTCCATGAGCCCTTTAACCCTGCAACATTTCTAAGAACTCGGGCTAATAATTCTCAGAATTTGGTGAAAATGCACATACTTGGCTGATAGAACCACTTGAGAAATTGCTTTGCTAAAACAACAAAATATTAGCAAAACCTTACACACCACCGGCTTCTCTCTTCCCCCTCTTTGGGGCTGAGAGAAAATAAATAAGTTTCCAGGTGAGCACTCCTTTCTCTCCATAAATGTGAAATTAGTAAAGGAGGGACAAAATAATCCGCTTTTTGTGTTTGTTTTTTTTTAATAAATGAGCCGTTTATGACAGTTTAAAGTGGAATCTGGAGACAATGTAGAGCAAAACTGTTATCAGAGTTCGCCACTATAACAAAGAGCTTTATGGCTGGCAAGTGCAGATTTTAAGTGAAGGCAGTCTCCATAAACATGTGAAATAAAGGTGGCCAGGTTATAAAGTTCCTCGCAACAAGCACCTCAGTTCTATTCCTCACTGACAAGGAATTCAAGTTACACCATAAATCTCTTATTTTGCAACGTATTACAAGTTCAAATTCACGGTAATTGGTTCTGTTCTGCTGGCTAAACAAACTGGGGTTCAATATTCGGTTTCTGAGAACTAAGCCAGATCCACCAAAACCATAAGCCCACAAAGAGAACTAATTGATAGTGACACACAATTGCTCTCATTTATAACTCTTTCACAAAGCGTATTGGCTGACCTTGGTACGGGCAGGACACCTGCCACACAGAAAGAAAGCTAACTGATTTACAAATGTTTAAATTGGTTTTCTTATGGGCAAGAGCTATTTTTTACTGGTAAGTGCATGAAATAAATGGTGCTCTCTATATACATGTTAGTCAAGCAAATCTGTAATTCAACAAGAATCTAAAAACTATCACATATACATAAAGCTTTTGCTCGATTATGGGGAAAAAAAGTTACCTTTCAGAGCTCAGCTAGGACTCTGCATGAACATACCTTTCCCTCTAGAAAGTAAGATTTCCTTGTTTATGCTTTGTCTGGTAAATGAAAGCAAGAGCTTCCTTGGAATATTTTCTGGCTACCTTCTTTTTAATAAAGTGCCTGAGGACCGCGAAAGCCAGTCGGTCACATCCTGAATTTAAGAATCACCTTTAAAGAAAGCCCTAAACTGGGGAAGGTTGTAACAAGCTTAAAGCACATTCCACTCAAATTAACCTCAGCTACTTTATTTTAAATGCGTTAAAAACAAAACAATCATAAAACTAATTGCCTCTCCTTAAGGTGTCAGACTTAGGCCGTGATGCAATTTCACTCTAATCTATTTAACACAAACAGCATGTATAGCATTTGTTCTGCTAATTAGAGCATAACAATTAAATAAATTATCCCGGTGCTTAAGATGTCTGGCATCTAATTGCAAAGCATCCACTTAAAATGACATTTAAAATACTCTCGGTTGGGGCTAGACAAATGTCAGTCTTAAGGTGCAGTTCATGGCTGCTTTCTTCTAATTTCAGCTTTGAATTACCATATTAGCTCAATCACGGGAAAAATTAAGAATTTACCATAAGTATTGAAAAGATGGCAAGTGTCTGACTTTGTGAAGAAGGTAACAATTAGAGAAGACTTCACGTTCTCGAGTTCTGCCCCATTTTCTGCCAACAGCCAGATTTCAAAATAACTACTGTTTCTGCAAATAAATTTTCACCATGCTCAGGGCAGGTCGAAAGGAAGGAATAAGTGGGGGAGCTAACCCCGGCTCCCCAGGGAAAGGCAAACGTCCCAGAGGGGTGGGGTAAAGGACAGGAGCCGAGCGGGGCAGGTCGCGCTGACCTGAAGGGTGCTGGCTGGGAGGAGAGTCTGTCCACTCCTCTGGATGGGCAGGTAGAGAGGAGGGACCTGCTCTCTCTAAACGGGCAAAGAGGACGCAAAGCTCGGCTCCCTTTTGTCTCTTTTTGCTCTGCGGAGGTCACCTGCAGCCCCCGTTTCTTGGGTATTCATTCTGTACCCCAGCCAAGAACATCCCAAGAAAAGAAAAAAAAAAAAAGAGTAAATGCGTGCGTGTGTTTACAGGCCGCGGCGGCGGCGCGGGGGCCGAGGGTGCGGTCAGGGGCCGAGCGGGGCGCGCGGCGCGGGGACTACGGCTGGGGAGGGGTCTGCGGGACCCGGCGGGGCACTCACCACGCGCTTCTGCGGCTTGATGAGGGGCCTGCTGAGGCCGTTCATCTTGCTGTAGAGGCCGCAGGCGTTGCAGAGGTAATGGCCGGTGCCGTCCCGCCTCCACAGCGGCGTCTGGATGGAGCCGCAGTTGACGCACTCGCGGCTCTCGGAGAGGTCCTCCAGCAGCTCTGCGGGGACAGCAAGGCCGGGGCCGGTGAGCTCGCCGCCCCGCGCACCCCGGGGCGCGGGCTTCCGGGGCCCCAGGTCCCGGGCCGCTGTCCCCCACGGCGGGGTCTCCCGGGACCTGCCGGAAACCTCAGGGACGTCGGGCGCCCGGGGGACGCGATCTGGGGGAGATCAGCTCGGACCCCTCTCTGCTCCTCCCGCACCGCTAAAGGTTTTTACGACCGAGGTCCATCCTAACTATAAAGCGCAACGTTTACGAACGAAAGGGAGCCGCGTGCTATTCGTAATATTCGCTGATTGCTGCCCTCCCCGGCGACCCACAAACACCCAGGACCCACTGCCCGGTCACTGTCATCTCAGTAAGAGAAAGTATTTTCTGTCCTCGTCACAGTTCCTTCTTGCCCGCCTGTTTTTCAATTAAAAAAGACAAACTGTATCAAAAATACTGCTCTTAACACTATCAGTTAGCTATAAATAAGAAAATGAAGGCTTTTGGGGGGAGCGGAAAGGCACATTATGAAGCATGGAGACGACATTCTGTTTCCGTGCCCTGAGGATCTAACACTGAAATATTCTGATTTCTATCTAAAATCTGTTTTAAATATCTTAAATGTGTTCCCATCTTTCAGATAAGGTGGTTAGCTTTCGCAATTTGAAATTAACCTAAAGCTAATTTTAAAAAAATATCTAAGATAATCTTAATTAACAAAATGATAACATTTGCTATTTTTCTGCAAGAAGGTTAAATATAAAAGAACATCAATTCTCTAAAATGAGAGTAAATGCTACCACACATAGACTTGGTAGAAAGAGGGTGCCTTTCTGCTCCAGTCTGAATGTTCTGATTGAACATTCTTCAAGAAATATCTGAGTTACTTATAAGTGAATAAACACTCCCGTTAGCATTTTATTTGAAGATTGCCCTGCCCGCAGACCTCTGCACCCCTAGCCCCTGATGTCCACAGTTTTCGTCTGTCAGTAATCTGGTAAAGATGTTTTAAAACTGGTTTTAAAAAAAAAAAAACAAAAAAACAAGTGTCCTTCGTTTCTAGAGTTATGTCTTAGATTTAAAGGAAGCTAACACCCCACACAAGCGAGTTCAAAGTTATCCTGGGGACACTGGAACTTACAACACATCACAAAGATTTATTCTTCTCTGCCCTAAAAGCCACTATTGACCACAGTAATCAGTGAAATGCTCAGGACTTCAAGGACACTGAAGTTAAACAAGGCTTTTGCCTTTGTTGTTGACTTTAAAATGTTACCTATCAGAGAGTCCCTCCACCAGAGTGGAGCATTCCCTGGAAACCCTGGCCCTGGGTCTGGCCTCCTTCACTCAGCTAGGAACAATAAAAGGCTCCCTGGAGAAGGCTGAGAACGCTCCCAGGGAGAACAGAGCCTTCGAGCCCCAGAGACAGGAGACAAAATGAGAAGTTCTAGAAAGTGTTTTGTTTTTGTTTTTGTTTTTTAACTAAATAGAAATTCTCCTGCCTCCCTGCAAGGGCCAGACAGTACTAATTCTAAAACGACAAAAGGAAACAGACTGTAATTATAAACTCTGGTTGTGAAGGATGTGGGGTGGTGGTTTGCACCTCTGTCCTAAGTGGATCCTTGGGGTGCTCCTGGGAAGTGATAGACCCCAATCAGGTGTGAGTCCTGTCCCCCCACACCCCTCCCCCCAACCAAGGCGCAGGGCTCAGGGGAAGCAAAGAAACACCGGGAATCAGGGTCTAAGAGGACTCAGGCTCCTCTCGGCTGAACTTCAAATCTACCCAGCAGTCAGGGACAGGGCAGGGAGTTGGCTTCTTGCTGTGCAGGGTGACCAAGTCCAGCACTCCAGTGTTAGCCTTTACAGTCTACCCCCAAACGTGGTTTTAAATCATAGTATTAACTTGAGGGGCAGGAAGATGGCTGCAAACTCAAGGCCAGCGAGAGCTACACAGGGAGACCAAGACCAGACCTTGGCAGAGGTGGGGGGTGGGGGGGAGATCAAGGTAAAGAAGCAGGAATGCCTGTGTGACAGAGTTGGGTCCATGCTCCTAACCCAAACTGCCTTAGTCACTCCTTTTCTTAACAGACGGCAAAACCTGGGTGTTCCAAAATCCCTTCTCTAGAAACCTTAACAAATAAACAAACAAACAAACAAAAAACCTGCTTGAGTCTACAGAAGATTTGTCCAACTTTGCAATGCCAGTGCCGGGGATGGGAGGGGGGATCAAGGAAAGTATAGGCTAAGTTCAAAACCAAAAGAATCTTCTACGGTGCCTGTAATTGCATTTCTCACGGGAACCCATTACTGTCAACACCTAAAGATGGGATTCTGCCCCTGCACAAGCTGTCTCCCAGTCAGATGGCTAGTGGTCCAAGCCTAAAGAAAAGAAACTTAAAGGGGATGCTAAGGTGTGTCAAGAGACAGGCAGAGCCATGGGGCAGGCTCTGGGGTAAAAGCTCCGCACCCCCGCACCCCAGTGGCCACCACCCCTCCTCACCCTCTGGAGATTTGTTTTCTCTCAGTCTCCACCCTTGGGAGCGAAGCACAGTCTTTAAGTGACAGGAAGGGTCACAGCCTTCTCCTCCAGTCCCAAGCTACCAAGACACATCTCAATAGGGTCCTTCCCGTGTTTGACAGTCAAGCTGCCGTGTGTGTGTGTGTGTGTGTGTGTGTGTGTGTGTGTGTGTGTGTGTGTGAGAGAGAGAGAGAGAGAGAGAGAGAGAGAGCCTCCGTGAAAACAGACTTCCTTACCAAGTCTCCTGACCTCTCTCCCAATGTTACTAGCTTTCAAATCAGGTTCTTCACTGGGTTTCCGCGAAAGGACTGTCCCTAAACCGAAGGGAGAAGGAGGGGCTCCCAGAATGAGGCCCAAGGATTCATGGGAAGGGCAGTTTGGACTAGTGTGCCTAGCTGCCCTCAAACAAACAAGTTACATTTTTTCCTTATAGGAACAGTTGTCAAACGGGAAGAGAGACCCGGTGAGCCCAGGGATAAACACAGATGGCCGAGGAGAGACACCAAGCCGGGCTCAGACCTTTCCCTGCTAACAGCAGAGCAACCAGATTTTCCTTTCCCACTTCCCGCTTAACTAGCCCCTGGCACTGGAGAGGAGGACTGCAACTCCTTAGTGGACTCTGGAGGTTTCGCCCAGCAGATGCCGAGCCTCAAGGCCTGTCCACCAGGCCTCCCCAGGGATGGAGTAACAGCCCCGCAAGCGAGGTCTCTCCTCCTTTTTCCTTTGTCTTAATTAATTAATGCTCTTGTTCAAAGAAAGGGATGAAGCTCCTCGCCTTGGCTGACTGACTTAGGAGGCCGAGTGTGCCCACGTGTCTATCTGATGGAGCCCCTGCGTTCTCTACTGCACCCAATTCTGGAGCCGCACTCACCACCCATCCAAAACAGGGTACACGCGGAGTTCCAGGCCCCACGTGTCCCTCCCCTAGAACAAACCTTTGCTCAAATGCCCCGTCCTTTCAACTACTACCGAGGGCCCCCCCCCCCCCC